TTGGGCAATCCTACTTCCGTAGTGATACTGCCTCGGAAACCCAAGGAGGGGTCGCTATGAGTCAGGGCTGACTCGACGGCACATAACAACAACATGTATCCTTTTCATAGAATTAAAGTTTGCAAGGTAAGTGATTTTGTTTGGAAGAGGCATTTTGACAATAGTGACATGCATATATGTAGGGTGGGATGAATGAACTAACCATCATCATCAGCCTTGGATATGTTAACTACCTGCATAAATTGTCATTCATAGCATAATAAAGTTAAATGGGATTTCCATTTGTCAAATAGTGGTGATCAGAGTAGATATTTTACTGTTGAATGCATGCTGTCAAGTCACTAGACTGTGGGTCAGACTGATCTTATCTGTGGGTGCATTTTAACTAGGATATAAATCAGATAAATATTGAACCAGATTAGTATTTACTGAGTCCTCAAAATTGGTATTTATGTGTTATCAGCCAAAAAGGATGCAACATTTGCCTGGATCATTTATTCAGTACTTAGTTTCTGGTAGAAACTACCATTTGTTTCAAAGGCCAGAAATTCTCTTCCCACAAAGGGGGAAAATAGTATATTATTTACAGGAGAAATCCCAAAAAATGTAGCAAGTAATATTGTTGGAGGAATTTTTGAATATGAAACCAGAGATATGGAAACCCAAGTTAGCAGCTAAGTGAAATTTATCACCTGCAGCTGGAACATTTCCCTAAATTTTAATAATTCAGATTACTTTTGACTAAAAGAAAGATCTCTTTGGGGCAGTGAAGTTTGCAGCTTATCACTGAATTGTTGTTTTGGGTCATCCATTTGATTCAATAGCAACCCTGTGACAGAGTAGAACTGCACCATAGGGTTTCCTAGGCTGTTATCTTTATGGGAGCATACTATCAGGACTTTTCTCCTTTGGAGTGGCTGATCAGTTCAAACCCTAACCTTTCAATTTGCAGCCAAGAACTTAAATCATTGCACCACCAGGGCCCTTTATCACTAAATAACAACTGTTTTTCCATGAATTCTAAGTTTGTTCTTAGATACACATTTAAACTTCATATATATAAACTTTATGTTTATATAAAGTGGTAGAAACGTTATATAAAGTTAAAAAACTGAGCAGGGTCTCTCACAAAGGTTTGCATGAGCTTAAATGCCAGTATGAAAAGATAGGAGGTGGGGAGATGGGGAGCCAGGAAAAGCACGTAAGGTAGAAAAGAGGCTTCCAAGGGCCTCTAGATCAGTTGTTGCTAGTTGCCAGCCAGTTGATTCTGACTCATGTGCAGAATAGAACTGTTCCATTGGGTTTTCAAGGCTGGAAGCAGGTTGCCAAGCTTGTCTTCCAAGGCACCTCTGGGTGTGTTGTCTGAACTCACAACATTTTGGTCAGTAGTTGAGTACTTAACCATATGTGCCACCTAGGCTTCTACAGACCAGTGAGGAACTAATCTGTTCCCTCATAATGGCCCCCAGCATAATGCAACCCCACCTTCAACTCCATTAAAATGAACTGGACCTCATAACTCAATAGCTCAGAATAGAAAGGAAATAAAAAGTTGAGATGAATATGTACAGTATGATTTTGTTCATGTAAAAAAAAAATCCCCACAAATAAATTTTCAAAACAAAACCCAAACTGGCCAGATTCTAACACTCAAGATTATTCTTGTAGATACAATTTTCTTGAAGAAACTTTTCAAGAGAAATCACAAAATTCGGGGAAATCCCAGTATTTGAATATTAACACCTATGACCCAGACAAAGGGAGAGGGTAATTGAGATAGTAGCTAGAAAACCAGAGACTTAGCCCTATTATTTTTCTATTGGGAAATGTCTTACTCAATTCATACCTTCCAGGTAAAGTTAGAACAAGTTGAAAACAGATCTATCTATCTATATATATTAAAAACAAACAAACAAACAAACCACTACATACATTTTTCATAGATGCAAATAATGATATAGATCAAATTCAGGATCTGGAAAGAAAACTATCAAAAGCTAAGGAAAACAAAAATCACAAGAAAAAAATTTACATAATCAGTGAAATGCCATTTTCGTAACATATTGCTTACACAGAAACAGAGTGAAAGGGATCCTATATTAGGTATCTAGCTCTGGTAGCATAGTGGCTAAAGCACTTGACTGCTAACCAGATGGCTGGCGGTTCAAACCCGCCAGCCACTCCTCGGAAGGAAGGTTGGGCAATCCTACTTCCGTAGTGATACTGCCTCGGAAACCCAAGGAGGGGTC